CCTGAACTGAGTAGCTGCCCTGCTGAATTTTGAACACAGGAGGTTGGCCACTCAGCACAGGCCCCATCCAGAGAATGCCTTGAATTTTCTGAATGAATGCAAAGCGTTCTCTTATTGGGTGATGTGGAGTGACAGGGTGGTGATGTCACGCTCTTCACCTCGTGCAATCAGAGAACACTTTGCATTCATACAGAAAATTCAAGGGACCTGTGCTGAGCGGGCATCCTCCTGTGTTCAAATGCAGCATTGAAGCTGCTCAGTTCAGGTCCCAGAAGAAAGTGATCACTAGAGTAGCGGTGGAAAATGACAAATTGAAGACTAATTGGTTTAGCGAAGCACCAATTAGTCTTCAATTTGTCATTTTCCATCGGGTATATGGTAAGGTGCTAGCAGCTTTTTAGTATAAACTAATAGGGGACCTAGAGTGCGGGAGGACCATACAGATATACTAGAGTAGCGGTGTTTACTTCAGTCAAATAAACCCAAAAAACTCAAGTGCTCTGCCAACTAAAAATAAAAAATAAATACAAAGGGCTGTCGCCACTCGGCAAAGGGCCTGGAAGCAACTGGAGACCACTGCAGTAGTGGTGTCAACTTCAGTGATTTTCAGCTTTCAGGTACATCGGCCTCGTATGGTATTGGCATAGTTACACTCACAAAGACCATTCAAATGTAAAAAATTAAAATGCAATGAGGATCATTTATAACCCACTGGTACTTTTTTCACCATTACCTTTTCTGTATACTCGTGTTTGGATTTAAAATATATGTAAACCCAACCACTAAAATCACCTGTAGACATAACGTAGTTTGCAAAAGTAATTTTCAAATTTGCACCTTTCATTAAAAGTAACTGACATTAGGGGAAGTCAACAATAGCTTCCTGTGTTCAGTCTAGCAGCACTCTTTCATTTATTTTATTTCACTGTAGACTTATGTTAAAGTAAGCTAAGGCTAGGTTCACACTATGCTGGTTTCCCGATGGACCACACCATTTGAATGGGCTGCTGTACCTATAGAAAACGCAGGGAAACGGTCCCTGTGCCTTTTCCAAAACTGCAGCCACAGGGAAACCACATAGTACTATGATATGCCCAGTATGGGAAAATGTACTGCGACTTCCAGTGCGTTGGAATCCCATAAGGAGTTAATGGCACCTCCACGCACCTGCTAACAGCAGCGCGTTCTTGATGAGGGTGCAAAAAAGTGTGCAATCACACGCAGCCCCGCACCACATATAGTGTGAACCTAGCCTTATGGGCTTGCACGTAGGCAGGTAGTACAGAAAAACATTGTTAAAGTAACCTTCTTCATGCATTTGCCTATTGATGATGGAACAGCATGTTAAACAGCAGATACAAGAGCAGTAGTTTAGTATGATACCATTATATAAGACTTTGAAGGTTATTGAAAGGTTGCTTTACCTCGTTTTGTTGAGTGGGTGAAGATGCTTTAAAAAGAAGCCGTAGATGGATATATACCAGAAGTTGACTGTGTGGGCAGTATCCCTTTGTAGAATACAAATCAATACAAAGTACTCTTATATTATGGTTGAGTCATTTATCAACTTGCGCATCTATTTGTTGCACATAAGCCTTCTACTAAACAGATTTAGGGAACGATTTACGAAGTAATACTCTCTGTGCTTAGTTCATATTAAAACACTGAGCTTTGGAATTTTCACAGTTGGAACAATATACAGTAGAGCTGACGAGCATCACAGCCAAGCCTAGCTAGAGGGCCCGTGATACAGGATCCACCAGATTTTTTAAATAAGCTGCTCAGTACTTTTTAGAATAAATAAAGCAGATTTTGCTGCAATAGGCATCTTATTCTTGGCTTGCCCCCCTTTACAGACTTAGGGCTTGTTCATATGTATGGAAGTCCTTACCTCCCCTCTAAAAAGTGATCCACGGCAGATGTTGTAGGACTAGTGCAGTGCAGACTTGGTGATTCTATGAGACAGCTTTCTTGGTACTATGTCTGGTTTGGTTGAAAGTCTTCTATAGAATTTTCTTGGCATTTTCCTTTTTTTTTTTTACAAGGTAAGTCACCAGGTCTTTCTTCCTGCATGATTTGTGGTGTGAACTGACCCTTAGGGCTCATGTACACTGCAGTTGATAAACTCATGTTCAGCATTTTTTTCAGCAGCCCCTGAACTCACCCTAATGTTTCCTATGTGTCCATGTACACATCTTTGTTTAGAGTCGTTTACAGGCATTTGAGTTTACAGTCTTTTTTTGAACGCAGAAAACTTGCGTTCAGCAGTTGATTTTATCAGTGTTTCCAGCGCAAAATGCGGCAAATTGCGTTTATAAGCGTTTGCAAATTTTTTTTAACTCTTCCAGTTCCCGATGCTGTCCAGAGCCTTTTTTCATCATGAAAAGTGCATTCAAAGCGGTTTCAAGGTACTCAGATGAACAAAACACTGAACACAGGATGTTCCTACCAAGCTTGTCTCACATGCTAATGACCAATTCACACCTCTCCCACACCTCTCCCACCCTTGGAAACAAAAGATTTGTTAATGACCATTCACACCTCAAATTCCTCATGAAGACCCCCTGCCAGGTGACCTTAATGACTCACTCCACCAGACACCTTCCCACCCTTGGAAACAAAATAAATATTAATAATCAACTCACATCTAAGCTAATCTCAACACATACTGCTGTCTCTGCTTCTACTCTCTGTATTTCTCTAAAACAGTCTGAAATAGTTAATAATTTACCACTTTTCAGTGCATTCTGGGCATTTGGGAGGTTCTCCTGTGCTTATCTTTAAAAAACGCTTCTAAACGCAAACGCACAAAAACGCGCATAAAAGTGTTATGCAAACGCGACTAAACAGACATTTTTTATATTTCATTATTTTTATTGAAATACTGTAGAAAGTGTATACAGAAAAATAGGAAACATAGCCCGCCTACATGGTGAGTTGTGACAAATAAACATATTCATAGAGTATATAAGCAAATAAGAATACAGCAACCAATAAACAGACATTTTTAACCTACGTTTTCCAGCAGTCAGTTTCCATCGTTCAGAAGTGTCCTGTGTACATGGGGCCTTAAAGTGTTACTAAACCCATGACCCTGCATTCACTCTATCTGGTCTCCCACAATGCACAGAACATGGAAATGTCATTATTTTAGTAAATATAAACTGCTAAATACCTTTTCTGATCAGCAGTTAGAGCAGTCTTGTGACTTCAGCTGATCACTGGTTAAAGCTTGTAGGAAGAGTTTTCTTTCTGCTCTAGGAGGATGCAAAACCCCTGACCTCTGTCTGGACAGTGCTGATTGGCCCTGTGCTGATCACATGCATTCTCACAAGAAAAAAAAAACCTCTCTAGCAATACACACTAAACTGAGCATGTGCAGAAGGGCTATGGGTTCTGTCTGTCTTATCAGCGTGTACATTTGAACAAGAGGAGGGGAAAAAAATCAGCATCAAACAGCCTTTTTACACAAAGCAGGGGATTAACCCCTTAGGTTCCACAGTGAGTATAACAATCATGCTTTACTGCATATACAGACTGATTTTACTGTTGTGGGTTTAGTAACACTTTACTACAGAAACAGAATTTTAATATGTATAGTTCAGATAACTACATTATAAGACCGCACGGAAAAAGTAAAAAAAAAAAAAGAAAATCTGATATACCATTTTCTACGTGGTATCACCTTACTGGCCTTCCAAATGTATTGAAATTGAAATTATGCAAAACTACAAACAGTGTTATGTTAGCAGATTCTAGTACGGTAATAAACATTTTTTTTTTTCAGCAGAACTCTGTTTACAAAAATAAATAGATAAATACTAGTCCATCAAAAGTCAAAATAAAGAAAACATGTTTTTTGCTTCATGACTCGCCTGCAATCCAGAGCCCCCCCTCCCCATCTTGTTTCAATGCAGTACATTTTTTTGCTGTTGGATTTCCTCAGTGTTTCGGATGAAATAACGGCCAGCATGATTCAACCCACTTCCTCTCAGCTCAGGCTGACTTGAACCCTTTTCCATCCTGTAACTGGAAGGCAAAGAAGCAGCACATTGATGATTACTGTGGGAAAAATCTCTGGATTAAAGGGGAACATTACAGCTAAAATTGTTTCTGCCATTTTATCTCTAAATGGGCTATTCATGTTTATCTTATAATTTTTGACAGAAGTTCTGCTATAAAAAAAACAGTCATTTCTTTATGACATACAGTGCTTGATGAACCTAAATGCCATTCAGCTAAGGTTTACAATTTCTGAAAAGCAGCACAAAACGTTATATTTTTATACAATTCTTAGAATCCCTACAGAGTTACATTTTAATGTTCGAAAGATTATTTAGAGTAATCCACTTATGCACTTCTCCACCGCATGCAGTGTGAGTAACAACTCACCAGATACAAAATAATCAAGGCAAAATGTAGTCAGCCTTTTGAGAATAGCTGATTCACCCCAGATTCTTCACAGTCTTCCACACAGCAGGCTTTTAGAATCAGAATAGCACAGTACAAACACTCAGGAGAAAGAGATTTTCCGTAGTGTAGCAACTTGCCCTCCAGAGGATTTACCCCCCTTCCTGACCAGGCCATTTTTTGTGTTACGGTGCTGCGTTACTTTAACTGACAATTGCGCGGTCATGCAATGCTGCACCCAAATGAAATGTACGTCCTTTTTTTCCCACGAATTGAGATTTTTTTCGGTGGAATTTGATTGCCTGTGTGTTTCTTATTTTTTGCCCTATAAAAATAAAAGTACGACAATTTTGAGAAAAAAACTATATTTTTTACTTTTTGCTATTAAACATGTCCAGTAAAAACATTTTAAAAACAAATTTCCTCATAAATTTAGGCCAAAATGTATTCTGCAACATGTCTTTGCTAAAATCCTAATATGTGTAAATTAAATGGTTTACATGAAAGTTTTAGCATTTACAAATGGCGGTATAGATACTGGGATTTTTTTTTCTTTTATTTTTACTAGTAATGGCAGCAATCAGCGACTTGTAGCGGGACTGCAGCAGGCATTCTGACACTGGGGAGAACTGACTTGGTGTCATTGACATCCCCAGTGACACCAATACAGTGATCAGTGCTAATAGAAAGCATTGACACTGTATTAATGGCACTGGGCAGGAAGGGGTTAACATGAAGGGCGATCAAAGAGTTACCTGTGAGCTGTGTGCTGTTTTACTTGTGTCTGTGTGTCTGTGCTTCACTGTAATCAAACTGCTTTGGATGGCTGTGCTGCGCACAGCCATCCAAAGCAGTGTGCACAAGCTGACAGGGAGGAGAACTGTATTGTTTGCATACAATTCTCCTCCCTGTCAGAGATGCTCGGCAGTTGCCACATCCGGGACCCGGTGATTGACCGCCGCGAGTGCCCCCTACCCAGAAATGCAAAATCACGTATATATACGGATTTTTGCGAACCTTTGCCATCCTGTAGCAGTATATCTGCTATAGGGCGGTTGGGAAGCGGTTAAAATCCAGTAGATAATACATGTAAATATTACACTCACATATTAATATGCCCAAAAGGCACCTCCAGAAGGCAGAAGCAGATGCTCCGAGCCACCGCTCTCTCAACCTGAGTTGGCTTGCGTTCCACAACTCAACACTCACAAGCCTGATGAAGGGGTCCTGCGAGACTCTGAAATGCTTCCTTGCTGTAACTATGTGATCATTCAGTAGCCTCCCTGGCAGTATTCCCAAGTGTAGCTCGGGGTAAAGTTTCAGTACCACAAGCGGTAACCCCGAGCTACACTCGGGCTTACCATGCGGCACTGCTCCAGGATCTGTTCTTCTCTTACCGTGTCCTGCGCTCCAGCGATGTCCCTCCTGCAGTGTCCCCTGCAATGTCCTCTGACCGATGCCGGCATCTGTCTTCTGGGTTCCGTTCCCTGTGACGTCGGGACGTACGGGGACGGAATGGCGGGAAATTTGAAAATGACAAAAAGTGGCATTCACTAAATTCACTAAAATTACATAGTATAACATTACTGTACCAAACCATTTCACATACATTTTGTCCCGAGTGCTTTGTCCTGTGCCCTGCCTACATTTTTACTGTTCTTTCTGCCTGGAAACTGAGAAATGTCCATGGCATCCAAAAAGCGTCCCTTTAGGTCAAAATCGGTTTTAGACCAGCTAGAGAACAGTAAATTAGAACCACTTGCAGAATTGAGTGATAATGATTCGTGGGGAAATTCATCATTAGACACTGCAAACGATTTTGCGACTTTGCTCAGTGATGTGCGAACTTGGCGCTATATTTCAAATTTCAGTGTTTTTGGTTTGATTATATTATTGAATTAAATGTATTATTATTATATTATTATTTTTTATGATTATTTATTAAATTATAATTTATGATTTCGTGTTTCAAATTGTAACATACCCGAGATGTTTACTAGACTCTTGTTCGGACAGATTTCACTGAGTTATTCCTAAAAATTACAGGCCTACAATAAAAAAATGCATATTTCCATGCAAAAAAATGTACCGCTTTGAGCACAGAAATATGGACATAATCAGACTGCTAGGGAGGTTAAAACTTTTGGACCCATATTGGTGATCCTCGGTGTGCTGGTGACATTCTCCCTCACTGCAGCACCCGCTTATTCACTCGCCATTCGCCATTTTTAACGCAGGAACGTGTGCGTTTGGATTGTACACTTCCACAACTCGACTCGGAAGTGACACACAGAAGGATCGGGAGTGACAGCAAACGGTTGGGCCTCAATGCATTTCACAAATCGCGTCATCAGGAAGCACATCTGGGGTGAATCGGCTATTCTCATATGGCTGATTACATTTTGCCTTGATTACCTAGTATCTGGTGAGTTGTTACTCTCACTGCATGTGGTGGAGAAGTGCACAAGTGGGTTACTCTAAATAATCTTGGGTGTGGAAGGTCTAATTTTTGCGAAGTTAATACATGGTCTTTCTTTTTTGGACACTTATTAACTTTGTTCATTCCATGAGGATATTACATATTCTTAACTGACACAGGGTGGTATTACATATTGAATTATATGCAGATATTTATCACTTTATTACAATTATGAGTAGCACTTTTTTTTGGTTATTTTTGATTATAGTTTTTTTCAATTTTTAAGGCAGCTTCTCTTCTTATATGGGATTGATTTGGAGGTGGCACCCTCACTCTCTTTTGTTTACATTTTAATATCTAGAAGGCTAAATGGAATTTGTTGTCATTGGCATCACAGTTATTATTATTATTTAAATCATATATTTGTATAAGTGATTTGTGTTTTTGTAGCATCCATTTTTTTGCTAATGTTGACCAAACACAGGACATCTTTACTGATGGCCTGTCTGTTTTTGCTTATGTCAGTCAAACAGGTAAAAGGGCTAGGGTGTGACAAGGACAAGTTAAAGTGGATAATAAAAAGTGCACCCAATCCCTTTCAGAATGTGTGAAGGTGTGCCAGAAGAAGAACTTGTATGATCCTTTAAAAATAAAGAAGTGGTCGAAAGATGCATAACAAATAACTGTAATTATTTTTTTCTATAAACCACAATCATTTTTTGACAGAAAATCAATTTTCCTCCCTAGTTAGGTGCTAGCAATTTTTTTTTGGCTCATTCTGTTGTCAGAGGAATGGGATTGTCTATTTTGGTCTGCTGAGGCTCCTCAGGCCTGTGGGAATGATTTCTCCCCCTAGTTCTGTTGAAAAACTTCCAGAGCTGTATGCAGGAAGATTCAGATCCTCAGCCTGAATGTTTAATATCCTCTAACCAATTCATGGGGGGGAGGGGCAAATTGGCTGAAGCCTGGATAGAGGAGGTAGTTGGTACCTGGTCTAAGCTATCCAAGGATAGACTGCTGATGCTTCAGGGGTGCTACTTGCCCCTAGAGCCATCCAGGACTAAAGCCATCCAGGACTGGCTGCTGAGCTACGCAGAGCTATGGGCAGAACCCTCAAATTCTGAAGATCTCTATTGGGCCTGTGAATAGAGCTTAATTACTGAGCTGCAGACCCCATGGTCCTCAGCTGTGGATAATGACAGTTCCAGTTATTCCTGAACTAAAGACCTGTGGTCCATTTCTTGTCAGTGCACTCTTAAGTGCAGGGAATTGTTCTTCTTTGTCCTCATCTAAGAAGGTTTCTGGTTTTCAACTTTAAGGCTTTTAGACTGCTTTGTTCACCTTTACACTGTTTTAAAACCCCCATGTCCATAGTTTTAGTTCAGAATGTAGTGACTGTGCTGCTGCTATAGAAAGGAGTGTCTTCAGCCTACATTTGCCCTCAATCGTTTTGGAGTAATGCATTCCTTATTGCCCTCCTTCAGTTAAAGTTTACTGTAGTAAATTACAAAAAAAGACATCCCCTGGACTGTTAATGAGCCAGACTAAGTAGACTGTTGTGTGCCAGGCTGCCTCTGTACATGATAGGAAAAAAGAAAATTCAGGAAAATCTAGCGGCCTCTTTGTAGGTTAGTGTTACAGAGGACTAGGTGACTGCTGGGGCCTTCCAAGGACATTGATACAAAATATTCCAAGGACTGCAAAGTACATGTAAAACATTATAGCAAGATAACATGTTATATAAAAATCCTAACATTAGCATTTAAGCAATTAATAATGCAATTTATTCATTAGCTAAACATAAAATAATCATTTTCTGTAGCAAAAGGCATCACTGTGTGAGCAATACTTCTTTCAAGAGAACCTATCACTTTGTACTGAATGATGAGTTTTGTATGTCAAATATTCTGTCAGCTGAAGAGCAGGTAAAAAGTGCCTATTACTGCACTGTAATCAGCCTGATAAAAATATCTTCGATTCTGAGTAGAGACGTCTCCTTCCTGTCTGGTAAGGTAGATGAATAATCATTGAGAGATACATGTGGGGTTTGCTACCTTGATTGACAAGTTCTGCTCTGACCTTATCCTTCCCGAGGCAATTCTCATTAAACATAAAAAAGCTGTATCTTCAGAACAAAAGCAGGTAGGAATTTGAAATACAGTTTGCTAAAAGCCTTGCAAAATATGTAGTGAGCAGTTTTATTATATTTAAATTTGAACTCTAAGCAAAATATGAGAGGGCTGATCGCCAAGAACATAGGCTGCAATCAACTATGCAGTGAAGGCCCTGCGGAGTTTGATATTAAATGAATGAGTTGTTTAGGTTTGTTTTCATATTACATGGTTCTGGTAACAATCTTTGACCAGTTACCAGGATTGTTTTGCAAGGTAAGACTTCTGATTTTTTCTTTAAAATACCAAACATATCATACTTACCTGCTCTGTGCTTTTGGTTTGCACAGAGCAGCCCCAAATGCTCCTCTTCTTAGGTCCCCCTCCAGCACTCCTGGCTCATCCCCTCTGCCAAGTGTGCCCATAGCAAGCCACCTGCTATGGGGGCACTTGTGCAGGCTCACTCCCGAGACCCATTCTGTATGTTAATTGACACACAGAGCGCATCTAAGCCCCTCCCCCTGAGCCCTCTTCACTGGCTGGGGATGATAGCAGCGGGTGCCAATGGCTCCTGCTACTGTTCCTGAGCCTGTGAGGAGGGAGAAAGTCAAGAATGACGCTACTCTTATGCACAGTGCTGATTTGAGATCAGGCTTAAATAAGTATAAGGGGAGCTGAGGGGGAAGGGGGGGGGCTGCACTCAGAAGGTTTTTATCATAATGCAAAGAATGCATTAAGATAAAAACCTTCAGCCTTTACAACCATGTTAACCGTTAACTTTAGCATCTTTTAATAATGCTGTACATGTATACCTAGGTTCAAAAGCAAAGTAAACTTACTCTTACAAACACTAAACCATTAAATAAATAAATAAATAAATAAATAAATATATATATATATATATATATATATATATATATATATATAGCCACACCTGAGTGAGCAAACACAAAGTACCTCTAAATTTGGCAAAATATTAAATGATAAATCCTATGATATAACAAAATCATAGTATCCATCAGAGCCACAGAACAATGCATATTGACATCAACACACATGAACATGGACTGTGAGTACGTAGCTTTACTTCCTTTGTTATATATTACTATCTTTGAGATAAGTCTACAGCAGCTGTAATAGTTTTTTAGGGTATTAAACTCAAAACCAACAATGTAACATATTGCAGCTTATCAATCATTGGACATGATGGCTGCATTGTTTTTTTTGTTTTTTTGTTTTTTGGCTTTTTCCCCTCTGTTTTCACCTGGTGATCTGGCCAGTAAATCACCTCCTGTATTAGAGTGTCTCCACTCTGGATGAAGGATCGCAGGGGGCACCTGTGGACAGCAGCATTGTTAATCTGGGGAAGGGAGAGTGTTCACTGTACTAGCAAATTTAGATACAGTAAGCCGAACACCAGCTCACGCTTCATAATCAGTTACAGAAACAGCTTTTTACCTTT